TCTTGAATTTGAGTGCAAGTGTGCAACTGACTTTAGTCTAGTTAACTTTGTGAGGGTAGTTTTACTCTTTTGTTATTTTGTTCTTAGAACTTAGAAGAGATATTTGTAGTCTTTTTGAAGGGCCAAGTCTTTTTTGTTATACCCTTATTATGTTACTACTACTACTACACTTTTTGTTGTTTTTCTTTTTGAAGCACTCATAAGATTTACTGCTTATTGGATATCATCTCCTACAGGTTATTGCAGTTAATGGGAATTTTCCTGGTCCTGTTTTAAATGTTACAACTAATGACAATGTGGTGGTTAATGTGAAGAACAATCTGGATGAAGATCTTCTGGTTACCTGGTATGATTAAATAAACAAGGGGTTTGGAAGTTGAGAGAAACATTGTTTAAAAGGGAAGAGTTTGGAAGTTAAGGAGAACTTGGTTTGGAAGGGAGGGGTTTGGAGGGCTAAGTCTATATACGTATACGTATTTATGTAGACAAACGTGTGTGTGTATATCTACATGGAGTACATAATTATGCATTTCTATTTGATACTTTTGAACAATAGAAGGAATAAAATAACAGGGGTTCATATAACATCTAAATTACATTTTGTTTGTTTTCAGAAATAGTGTATTTATTATTTATAAAGATATAAAATAAGCCATTGTTTATCTGTGAGGGACTCATTTTTACAGGTCAGGAGTTCATATGTGGCGTTCTTCTTGGCAAGATGGAAATCTGGGAACGAATTGCCCTATCCCTTCAAAGTTGAACTGGACCTATGAGTTTCAGGTCAAGGATCAGATAGGAAGTTTTTTCTATTTTCCATCCACATTAATCCAGAGATCATCTGGTGGCTTTGGCTCTTTCATTATCACTAATCGCCCAGTTATCAGTCTTCCTTTCGATTTCCCTGATGGAGATATAGTCATATTCATTGGTGACTGGTTTACCAGAGATCACAAGGTATGTGTTGCAATACTCAACTTTGGAACTTCAGTATTTAATATTCTAATTCATTGCTGATTTTTAGGCTTTGAGGGCTGACCTTGATAATGGTAAAGAACTGGGAATGCCAGATGGCGTCCTTATCAATGGAAAAGGACCCTACAGATACAACTCTTCTCTTGTTCCTGATGGCATTAATTATGAAACCATTAATGTTGATCCAGGTCAACTCTTAAAACAGTCTTGCATACATTTTTTAAGTTTGAGCGTCTCTTTTGTTTGGATTCTTTACTCTTAATTTTGTTCTATCCTTCTTCCCCTAGTATATTTTTTGTTTCCAAATGTAACATTAATGTTAAACAAATGCTTATGTTTCGTTTATTGTTGTATCCATTTCTTGGACGGGATAAGCGGCATATATATCCCTGAATTATCTCATAGAACTTGTATATCCATGAACTTCTGTTTGGAACAATTAAACATCGAAGTGTAAATATGGAACAAATATACCCTTGTCCATACAACTTCTCTTTAAAAAACTTATGTACCGTCAACCAATTTTTCTAAAGAGTAAAAAAAGGAATGAACATATAACTTTTAAAAAGCTTATAACTTTTTTTATACACACGGGTATATATGTTCCCCATTTATACCTTTTTGTGTTTATGGTTAAAAAAAAGTTATAGAATTTACATGTTATGCTCTCTAAGGTATAGTGCAGAGGTATCTTTGTTCATTCTCCCTTGATTGAACTAGATCTACAATGAACATCCCTTGCAATTATTTCATGTTTATATATTTAATTATTACCAAATACCAAGTCATTTTTCTACATCCTCTGTGAATTGGGTTCATTATCTTAACCCGGAGAAGGTTTCGTATAATTTGCAGGCAAAACTTATAGAGTTCGGGTGCACAATGTTGGAGTCTCAACTTGTTTGAACTTTAGGATCCAAAGCCATAATTTGCTCTTAGCAGAGACAGAGGGAACTTATACCTCTCAGCAGAACTTCACTAGCATAGATATCCATGTAGGGCAGTCCTACACTTTTTTGGTCGCAACAGACCAGAATGCGAGTAGTGACTACTACATTGTTGCAAGCCCAAGATTTGTAAATCAATCAATTTGGGAGAAGGTTACTGGTGTTGCTGTTTTGCATTATTCCAACTCCATGGGTAAAGCAAATGGACCTCTCCCCGATCCTCCCAATGATATGTATGATACTTCCTATGCGTTAAATCAGGCCATGTCCATCAGGTTCTTCATGAAACTTTACAATTCTTACCTCATTCTGTTATTTTTTTCATACACTTAACAGTTTTGTGCCACATGTCACTGATATTTTCAACATGACATTCTGTATAATATACAGGATGAGTGAAATGGAAGAAGTTGTACATCTCACATTTTTGCGTATGTAAATAGAGAATATAATACATGTTGGTCATTTGCTATTCAAATATAATACTTTTTGTGAAACACTTTATATAAAGAAAACACTTCATAAATTATTTATGATTTTGGAAATGGATGAAGAATTATTACTAATTAAAGCTGCTTTCATAAGCAATAATTATAATTCGTGAATATGAATTTCATTCCAATAAAATATTTTCATTTTACTCTATCAATAATAGGTAAATAGATGGTGTGTATGGCATGATATGTATGTGCTACTATAAATTAGATTAATTTAAACTTTGTTTAAAAAAATTCAATAAGTTATAAGAATACGAAAACAACATGTGAAATGCCACCTGGCTCATAGCGTGCTACATGGAATCGTGTGGCACGCCACATTGCATTTGTTGGTAAAATGTGTGGAAACTTAACAGGACCAAGATGATATCAATTGCACATTAAGTCCTTTTTTGGTTTGATAATATTTTGTAAAATGGACCAGTTTTATTGTGTTAGGCAAAATGTATCTGCTAGTGGAGCCCGCCCGAACCCACAGGGATCTTTCCATTATGGCTCCGTTAATGTTACAGATGTTTACATCTTAAAGAGTTTCCCGCCAGTGATGATTGATGGAAAGCGGCGATCTTCTTATAACATGATATCCTTTGTTAATCCTAAGACTCCAATAAGGCTTGCTGATGTATATGATGTGCCGGGTGACTACAAGCTTGATTTCCCAAATAAGCCAATGAACAGACCACCTAAGATGGACACATCTATCATCAATGGTACATACAAGGGCTTCATAGAAATTGTACTGCAGAACAATGACAGTGTTGTTCAGAGTTTTCACATGAATGGTTACTCGTTCTTCGTTGTTGGGTATTACTCTTAAGCAGAAGTTTGCTTATTATTATTACAAACTCCAGTGATTTATTTATTGTTTACTGTGTAATTATTGTGAATGTCACACAGGATGGGATATGGAGAATGGACAGAGAACAATAGGGGATCATATAATAGATGGGATGCAATATCCCGCTGTACTACTCAGGTTCGTAAGTTCGATTGTATTTATTGAATTTGAACATCGTATTCATCTTTCTCATGGCTGTAAATCTATGGGGGGATGTATTGTTTTGTAAATCCTCACTTTTTGTACAAATATATTACTAAATGGATGTATTGCTTTGTAAGCATATGAAAAAACTAAAGCATTAAGAAAATAGCTTTCTGTATTGATTCTTTCCATTTTTCCTAACATTTTCCAAGTTCCAAACAAACACTTTAGTGTAACTGTGTTAATTATTTGACCTTTTGAAAAAACTATCACTCCAAGCCTCACTGGTTATGGTGTTTGGTTTTTGAGTAAGAGGGCACATGTTCAAGTCTTGAGAGAGGTTTCTTGTCAAAATGACAAGGGAAGGCTTGATCCTTATACACCCTTGTGGTGGGACCCTTCTTCTGGCCCTTGTCTTGTAGGGACGTCAATGATCACCAGGCTGCCCTTTTTCTTTTTCTTTAAAATATAATCATGTGTATGTGTAGGTATTTGCTGGAGGGTGGACATCAGTATTGGTATCTCTTGACAATGTAGGGGTATGGAACCTCAGAACAGAGAACCTTGACAGATGGTATTTAGGTCAAGAAACTTACCTCAGAATTGTCAATCCTGAAGATACTGGAAATAAAACAGAATTGCCTGTGCCAGAAAATGCACTTTACTGTGGTGCCCTTGCTTCAATGCAAAAGTATTTCCAAAACTCTCTCTGTGTGTGTGTCTGCATATGTTCTGGTTAGCTATTTATTGACTTTCTTATTCATTCTGGCATTCCAGGCATCCAACATCTGCTGCAACCATCCATGAAAGCATAGGGCTGTTGTCATCATTACTGTTCATATTTGCAGCTGTCACTTACTTACATGTTACCTGAGGTTTGACCATTGTGCTTTAGAGGAGTAGGAATGGGGATACTATTGGAATATATATGTGTATGGTAGGGATTCTTGGGTTCTTTTGCTTTTATGGTTCTAATTTTATTTATTTGCTTTCAAAATGTCCCACCAAGTCCATTTGCACTCTAAGTCTGTGTAGTCACTAATATCACAGCATTTTCCGCCAAAGGTGGTATTTTTTTAAATGTCTGAACTAACACCACCCTGTGTTAGCACTTTTTTTTAAACATGTTTTGTTTGACCAGATTGATAGTTGCTACTTTTGTAAAGTTAGACCTTTTAATTCATGAAATATAACTCACATTTTAAAACTTCAAATTTAAGAAATTCAGCATATTTGTGTGCCTTATATATGTTTGGGTAAAATAAATGAAAAATCGGGGTAGTTGAACCTAGCACCTACTAGGAAATACTACCCCAGTCCGAAATGAAGAAGTTTCCATTTTAATTTTAACACTTTTCAGTTTTCAGTGTTGATTTGTGTCCATTATTTTGCACAAGTATATCATTAGAATGTGTATAACAATTCATTATTTCAATAATACAGACTAAAAGAAATTTCATGTGGCATAGTTTTCAAATACTCAATGGTCTCATTAAACAATTTTTGACTCCAAAAGTGAACGAGAATTTTATTTTGTGAGCGTGAAGAATAAATAATTAGGAATACTATAACATTTGCTTTTATTTGCCTTTTACGCTATTTACATACTATAAATTTGATCATGTTCCTTTATTCGATCGTGTGCTATCACAAATGCTATTAATATAATTTTTGTCACATATATCTCCATGTGTAGATTCTAATGATCAACTTACTATTATTTTTACTGCTCTGGAATAAAAACTTACTACTTATATACGGAGTATTAATGTTAAGAGCGACGTGTTGATAAATGTTAAACTCAAAGCCTCAAACAATTTAAAACAATTTTGTGCTTTACCTAAAACCATCTTAAATGGTGTCCTGTTTCTGTCGTACCTTATCCTTTTTTGTTGTTGTCCTTATATTCTCTTAATTCTGTTCATTTTTCTTCCAGTAAAACATCAAATCCACAAGTCCAACTGTCCAACCCAGAAAAATAGGTACAATATAATTAAACCAAGGAACAAAACCCCACTCCATTTATTCATGGTATTATAGCAAAAATGTATAGATTAAAAACTACCACTACCTCTATCTCTATAAATCTATAATCATAAAAGAAAATTATCTAGCTAGCTAGTTCATGTATATTTTTGAAATGGGTCGGCCTGAAGGAGACTAGAATTGAAAGGCACGCCGGTGGATGGCAACCAAGAGTTGCCATCAATGAACAAGTTCACCGTGAACTGCATCGCCTCTTCCGGTGTAGTGAGCTCGTGGACGCCACCCCACTTCACTCTCCCCGCCGTGGAAGAACCAGGCCCTATGTTTCTATACTCTGCATAATACACATCGTTCTGAAAAGACGCTTCCTTTCCCTGCCACCACATCCACCCCGCTGGATCTATGAAAGAGTCCATGAACGTCTCCATGAAAACGGTTCGAGAGCAAAGCCCCCATGGCCTGCCCAAGAACCCACTGATCCCGCTCATGTCTGTCCCCGGTTCGATTGATATGCGCGAGCCATGGATTACGATCCCGGTGTCTTCCGTCGGAGTGTCGCGCTTCGATGCCGTGATCACGACGGCCTCGCTGTGGGTTGACTTTCGGCCCAAGATGTTGCAGTTCTGGAAGATGGCTTTTGCGTTCCCGAAGATGAAGTCGACGGTGCCGTAGATGTCACAGTTTTTGTAAAACTGTCGCCCTTCGAATACGTAAAGGGTGTCTTGATAGCCTTCGATTGAGCAGTCATAGAACACGGCCCGGTCACCGCTCACCCGCAGCGCCACGGCCTGCCCATTGTCCGGACCGGCAGTGTTTCTGAATGTTATGCCGTGGGCTATAAACCCAACTGCGTCAACACCTGTATTGGAAAGTAAAAAGTGTAGTTGAGATTTGAATAAAATGATTGATTTGATACAACTATTAATAAAATGATTGAAAAGTAAAAGGTGTAGTTGAGATTTGAATAAAATGAAGTAAAATGATAAAGAACACAAATCTCTTGCAAAAAAAGGAAATAAGACATTTATTTTGGGACAACTTAAAAAGAGGAATATAAGACAACTAAAATGGGACGGTGAGAGTATATATAAGAAATGCGTAGTATATAATTTGTGTGTTAACCCGGAGAAAAAGTAGGTTCTTGTATGACTAAAGATTCGTCATTCTAGGAGACATAAAGGCTATGAAAAAATAACACAATGTTGAAAAAAACCTTCCATTTTTGGTAGCCTAGTAGGGAAGTGATCACTGATCATTCCACAAAATTCAAGTAACCATTTACCATTTGAAGTATAAGTTCATTTGGATGCTATGGAGCTCTATTTTTAGGTCTATAAATAATAATATAAAACTAACTTTTTGTATACATGCAAAATAAATTGATTAATTAAAAAGAAATTAAAGCAATATATTTAGAGTCATAAAAATTTGCTTATATTTGACTCCTATTTTATTTATTTATTTATTTATTTATTCTCGATTCAGACTAGATTTATTTTTCTCAAAATATGACTTCTTTACTTTTAAGATAAAATAAAAGTACTCATATATCCATACACTTTGCTTTACTCATACTTTCCTCTATTTTTTGAATATGAAAATATAACCATTTTAAATTTAATTTTCATTTTCAAAGTAGAATAAAACACAAGAAAGCATATTGCCTTAATTTTTTTCAGAAATTGTTCAAACATCATCAAAGCTCCAAATTATGGTCAAAAATGTATTTTTTCATAAAATAGGACTTATTTAGTCCTATTAAAAGAATAAAAGAACGAAAACTTACCTATATAAGATTGCATGATTCCTAGTTAATTAGAGAAATTTTGAAACATTTCTCTCTTATTTGAAAAATTTCTCTTTATTTTTCACTTACCAACGGTTGCGGTGTCAAAAGTAGAACCGCCACTGGCCCCAACACTTCGTTGGCCAGTGATAATAGTCCGTCCCTTACCGTCTCCGAGTAGAGTGAGACGTGGGAGATCATCGTCAATGATAATATTCTCATTGTAAACTCCTGCTGTTATTTTAATAACAAACCTCCGACGCTGGACCCTGCTTTGGACCGCCATAGCGATGGCCTCTGCAATGGTCGGGATGTTTCCCGGTCCGTTCCCGACCACGAGGTTTGGCGCGTGAGGCAAACCTTTTGCCATTGGCTTTAGCGTCCACATAGGAGAAGATACGAATATCATAATTAGAAACAACAAAAATCTTAGCTTATGCATGCTGCAGCTTGGTACGTCGAGAGTATTAGCTACTTGCACCATGCATATTTTAAACATGATATGGATTTGGTATTTATGTATAACTTGCTTCACTTTTAATTAAGTACTTTAAACGCCTCGTGGATGATCGAATTAAGTATACCACTCCCTAATTTAATTGTAGGCATTAAGTTGAGCCTTTATTTTATTAGAAACTGTTTCCTCATTAAGTAAGATGCGCGCCTAATGAAGTATAATGGTGAAGCTAGTTAAAGATATGGTAACTCTTGAAATATTGATTACGTTAGAAAAGATACAAAGATAGCATATAGTAACGTTTTATGATCCAATTTCTAACATAGAAGCTAGAAAGTAAATATAAGTCTACACTCTATACCTTCACGTGAAACAAGGCCATTTGTTATTTGCACCTGAAATAAGAACTTAAACAATTGTCTAAGCTAGTAATTAGTTTGTGCAGGGAAGAAACATAATACGTAATATTAATCACATGCAACTGTGTTAATTAATTAAGAGTAGTGCAATTTCGGTGACATCTATATATACGATTTTCTAACATGTATTTTTTATCCTCGTTTTTAGAATATGTTCATGTATCCCCGCTAATTATATATTTCCGTTCCAAATTAAATTGTTTTGCAAGTTAACATTTTTTTAGTCAATTAATAATAAAGTTAAACCCTTTCTGTTGATAATTAATTCAGTATTTATAATTAAAATTTACATATTTTGAAACAGCATTAAAATTTCTATAATGTTGTAAAATCCAAATTAAAAGTTAATTAACAATTGATATCCTAATTAAATGAATAAATCGTTCAAAAAAATTAAATGAATAAAATAAATCTGTCTTACAAAAAAAATCAATTTTGCAATAGATCAATTTGGGACGGAGGATTGAGTTGCAAAATTGACTTTTTTGGATTAAACAGATTCATTTTAGTCATTTAATTTGGATATCAACTCTTAATTAAATTTTAATTTGGATTTTTCAACTTTATGGGGATTTAATGTAATTTCTTAATATCTAAATTTTAATTATTAAGGTCAAGTACCTTGTGGTCTGATGACATCACTGTGTTACTCCCAAGGAGGAGGTCACATGTTCGAACCTCATCCCAGTTCAAGAATGTTGACATTAACATTGAGCAGATACTATATATGTTAGAAAGAATTGTCCAAAAAAATTAATTATTAAATTTAAATTAGTTATGAATATGGATGATTTAATTAATTTTATTATTGATTGATAAAAAATGCTGAATTTGCCAAAAAAAAAATTGGGATGGTGTGAGTATTATTATTTAATTATTAAGTATCCTATATATAAGTCTATGTCGGTTCTCATAAGTTAAATAAGTTGATGGACTAAATACTCCGTATGAAATTAATGTTTATTATCAATCGTACCAGTTTTGTTAAGTTCTGTACGTCATGAATGGATCCCAATTTTATTTATGATGGTGATGGTGTCCACATCATTTTTGCTCTCTAAGCAATTTCGCATAAAACTTCGAGTAGTGCGTGACTGCGTGTTAGGGCTGGACTCGGGCCGGGCGGCCCGACCCGGAACCGACCCGGCCCGCCCACTGTAGCAACCGGCCCGGCCCGGTGGCCCGGTCCACCAGCGGTTCGGGACGAACCGGCCTGGTGGATACCGGTTCCGGGCCCGAGCCCTCCATATGGTGAACCGGCCCGGCCGGTTCGGGCCGGAATTAATTTTTTTTTTTTTTGAAAATTTTTTAAGTTTTGGGTTGGATTAGGTATTTTGGGCCATTTGAGGTGGTTTGGGGTGGTTTGGGGTTGAGGGGGAGGGTTAGGGGTTAAATAAAAGAAGCCAAAAAAAAAAAATTAAATACCCGGGTGAACCGGCCCGGCCCGGAACCAGACCCGGAACCGCCCACCCCCGGTTCGGGCTCGGGCCTCATATTTCTGAACCGAGGCCCGGCCGGGCCCAGGCCCGAGGCCCGAACCGGCCCGGTTCAGTCCAGCCCTACTGCGTGTACATCCTGCGTTATACGGTAGGTAACCGTTTATACGAATAAAAAAAGGGACACTTTTAACAAAATTTGTTGAACCAAAATTGTCTTAAATGTATCTGTGCACAAATAAAAATATATGTGCGCAAACACTTTTTGTTTGTATACATATAACTAATGTCTCTGTACACATTAGTTTCTGACTCAGTCTCATTGGTCTAGTGATCTAGTCAAAGATTATAAACTTTGATTAATTATTTTAACAAACATTTATATGAAACTTAAAAGATTTTCGTTTTTGTGATAATATTTTTAACAAAGAACATTTTTATATAATCAATATTACGGTGTATAAATATATAATTGATCAAAGTTTAACATCATTGATATGAAAAATAGTGTTTGGCTAAATTAAAAGGGACAAATGGAGTATAACATATAGCGAGATTTGCAATTTAGTCTTGTAACTTTCACCTGTTATCATTATTAGTCTTGTAACTTTAGTCATTTGCAAATTGGATCTTGTAACTAATCAATATTTGCAATTTAAGGAATTTTCCATCGGAAAGTACAATTTCTGGTAGAAAAATTAAATGAGACGCCTGCGACATCTTTTCTGGTATACTATCGCTAGAATATGTACATTTTATGAAAAAAGTCTTTAAATTGCAATTATTAATTAGTTATAAGATCAAAGTTGCAATTGATTAGAGTTAGGAGAGTAATAATGAAAATGAGCGAAAGTTAGGAAACTAAAATTGTGAATTTCCCTAACATATACTCTATATAGTTTTTTGTGGAAGTCCGTGGGGTTCTGTGGGACATACACAAGGTAGCCAGGTCCGCCTATATGGACACAAATGTGCTTTGGCATAGACTGTAACGTTACCGCTAATTAGGAGTGGGTTCGGTTCGAACAGTTCGGTTTTCACATATAACCAAATGTCGAACCAAAATAAAAATTTCAGTTCGATTTGGTTCTGTTTTATGTTCAAAAATTTGGAACAGCGGTTTGTTCGGCCCGGTTTATTTCAGTTTGGTTTCGTTTTTCGGTTTTTATCCATTTTTTATTAGAAAAATAGTAATGGGAAACAAAAACAAAAAAATAAACTACATCAACTAGTATTAATAGTAATACAATATAAAAACATACATAATTAAAAAACAGAGAATAAACAAATGCACTTCCAAACAATAAATAGAGAGTATGTGTATACCAATTTAAACATTTTCTAAATTATAAAATGGATGTGGTTATTAGTAAATTATATACAATGTATTAATCAAATGTATTACTATTAAGTAATACATTTGAAAAATAACTTATTCTACTTTCATTTTAGACAAAGATATTTAGGCTCTTAAGTTTCACATTTTTAGCTATGATGTCTAAAGTAGGTTTCTAGCGTCGGTTTTATTTTCACACAATGTCGGTTATAACCGTCGTTATTTGCTTCAACGACGGTCTTTGAAACCCTTGGCAACAGCTCCGTGGGGAAGATTATTGTGTCGGTTTTACAAACCGTTGGAACAACCGACGCGAATTGTCATCGGTATTTACCATCGGTTATTGGCGACACTAAAAGGTCAAAAATAAATTAAATGCTAGATTTGACGTCGATATTAGTAGTAGGTAGCACGTTTGTCATTTGTTGATGTTAGCATCTAACGTCGGTTATAACCGACGCTAAAATATACCTTAATTTAAAAAAAAAACACATCCCATCGAGATAACTTTTAATCAAAAGTAAATCATTAAAATTAAAATAATATAACCCACATAAATATTTAAATTACATGTGCTCAAGTATTTTAATTATAGGACCAATCAAAATAACCCAAATGTTTCAATCAATAATTATTCTTTACATGATAAGAAGATGACCATACTACATTACTTGTCTTGGAGGCTTTTTAACAAAAAGCATTAAAACAACAAAAGTCAATGATCTTGAATTCATCATAGATTCATAGATACCTTACTAGCCATGAAATACAAATGATCATACTAACTAAGCAAAATTAGATCATGACTTGTTCTTGACCATCATTGCTGATTTGTTACTTGAGATATTTAGGATAACATGTATCCTGGAAAACAAAGTATTGCAAGCTTCAAGTTATCTTGTAATCTACAACTCCACAAATAGTATAAGCTCTAGAGAGAGATCATGATCAAATGCCAGGTCAATCCATGCACTTAGATTAGAAGAAAGGCTAGCCTTATATTATTCAAAAAATAAATTCAGCATCACTACAAAACATAAAACCAAACAGAACTCCTACAATTTTACAATTATATTATGCATTTAAAAATGTGGTGAGCAACTAACCAGCAACTAACCATTGGTAGTTTTAGTTTCAAATGTTGTTCTAGATCTTTGAGGAGTATCATTCAAGATTTTGTGCAATATTCTTCTTCAGTTTGCTCCTCAAACTCTTAGCTCATGAGAATAGCTTCATTCCTACCCAAACTTCTGAGTATCTTGCTGCAAGTAAATGTGAAGATTAAGTTACTCTTAAGTCTTAACATTTGTATAGATAACATTAAAAGAGTTCTACATTTGACTGTAGAGAAAACTAACTTACCTGGATTTCTTGCTATTTGATTCCAAAATTGACTAATCAGCCAAGCACATCAAAAACTCATTCGTTGCGCATTCTATTAAAAATCAAGAAACAAAACAATATAAAAATGGCATCGAACAACCTACTTTTGTGCTAATTCCAGTTTGACCGCAGAGAGAAAATTTATGAACTAAACATTTGAACGGAGAACGATTAGAGTTGAATTTTTGTGTGTGCTGGGAGCATATTCAAAATGACGTATATATCCCTATTTCGCTGAAAAACTAAATACATTGAAATCAAGTATTAGAAGTAGATAAAAAGGTAGACAAATATTGCATTCATGTGCATAGAACATTTCTCTGTTATCACAACTAAAGTATGACCTTTTATTTCAATGACAAGTTAACAATATTCAGAGTATCTCAAGAGTTAAGTTTTTAGAAATTTAATGGAGAAGGTACCATTACCTAACGGTCTTGCCCTGAACTTTTCTTCAAGCTCAACCCCTATTCCCAGACCTATCCAATTGAGTTTCTTCAAAGATTTAATTGAAAATTTGAATTATAATCAAACCAGAGAGGCAGCAAACAACCTTGGGACTTCATCACTTTCTTGTTTAAAGTCGTACTCAAATTCTAAATATTCACTTTCTACTTCGAGATTCAAGCGACAGAAAAACAATAAGTTGAGGCGAAAGAAAAATCACATCTAAGATCTAAAATTTCATCCAATTTCAAATAAATAATGAGAAAACATCTCATACAAAGGGGAAAAATTAATGATGCAATCACACAAAAAAGACATAAGAAGCGAGACTTGGAATAATCTCTACCTGGAATAAGAAATCTGTGTAGCACTGAACGAAGGAGATGCCACTGAAATGCCAAAGACATCGGGCTCACTAAGCACTTGGTGCCGAAGAGGCAGAGCCGCGGAGATGATATTTGTTGCTTCGCGAGGAAGAAGCTATGTCGCCGCCTCATCAGTTGCTTAACAAGAGAGTGAAGTAGATCCGTCCATCAAGAAGAAGAGTAATCGTCACAGAAGAAACTCTGATGACGGCGATGGAAAAGATAAGAAGAAACGTAGGGTTAGGTTTATTTTGAAGTCTAAAGTCCACGCTAATGTTTATTTTTTTGTTTAGAATCTTACGTCGCTCATAAGCGACGGTAAAACCTTAAAAAACCGTTGTTAGACTCTTTCGTGGAAAATGAAAAAATCTTTGCCAATGCTTTAGTAAACCGATGCTAAGAGAGATTCTAATGTCGGTTCTTAAAACCGACGCTAGAAAACCGACACAGAAACCTGTTTTTTTGTAGTGAGTATAGTTTATATTAATACATATTTGTTCAATATGAAAAATAGTGTGATAACAAACATATATACTAGTAACATATGTAAATTGCGATTTGAAGTATCAATATATTAGTATTATAGCAATACACTTGTGTATGTACAAGTGTTTCACTTAAGTAAATCATAAATATTAAATGTCAATATCTTGCAAATCATAATAAATACAGTATCAAACATTAATTTTCTAGAATTAAGAATTAAGCACTAAACAAAATATTATAGTTAATGATTATTAAATAAAAGGGAAAATGAAAACTAATAATCCAACCTTTTAGCAGTCTTCTTACAATAGTCCCACCTTTTCTTTATTCAAGAATAATCCAACTTTTGCACCCCATTTTCATTCAGTGGTCCCTGACCGGTTAACGACCTGCTATTCCAGGTTATTTTTTATCTTTGCAAAATATTATCTTTGTGAAAGGTGAGATTTATGGTATAATGATTAGCAAAGATAAGAAAATAACTTGGAATAGCAGGTTATCAACCAATCAGGGACCAGTGAATGAAGATGAGGTGCAAAAGTTGAATTATTCATGAATAACGAAAAGGTGAGACTATTGTAAGAAGACCGCTAAAAGGTTGAATTAGTAGTTTCCATTTCCTAAATAAAATAACAAGTTTTAAAAAGTTTGGTTTATTTGGTTCGATTCGATTTCGAGATGTGAAAACCAAAACCGAAAAACAACAACTACTGCTCGGTTCGATTTTTTGAATTGTTTTGATTGTGGCTTGGGTTTATTCGATTCTGTTTTCCGTTTCTCCGAGACTCCGACCCACCCTTACTGCTAATAAAACGCTTCTACGTTCAATAAGTTGAAATTCGATGAGATAGTAATTTATATCCCCTCCGTATGATTGGACATTGCAAAATTTTATTAAGTGCGAAATAACAAAAGCAAAAGCTGTAAGAAGTATTTTGGAAGATTGTGTAAATGAGGCACAAAAGGAACGGCATATTACTTACTTTGAAGGGAAAATAGTAATTTTTTTGGACTAAACATTAAATGAAACTTACACAATCCAACACGAAGGAGTAGTTCTTTCTAAATTTTAACGGAGATTAAGAGTTCTCTATATATTTAATTACAACGATTAACGATCATAAAGAACAATTGGGCGATAGAGCAATGTAGGTGATAATTAAAAAAATGTTAGGATAAATTAATCACACAATTCTTTAGTACATATCCATTGAAATGTACAATGTAATAGATCAAATATCCATAGGGACGCATTTAGAGACCAATCGAGCCAACACTAAAATGCACGAAGTTAAAAATCACTTAAATAAACATTAAACACGATCCACCCAATCATAATCACAATTATGTCACATTAAACCCGCAGTAAACGGCACCCCAGTAGAAGGCAACCACCCCTGACCAGCAATAAGATTAGACACAGTAAAATTCGCCGCAACATCCGGACTGGTAATAACATGGTAACCCGGCCACGTCACCCTCGACGTTGTCGTTGACCCGGGCCCACTGTTCATGTATTCTCCATAGTACAACGTGGTCAACGCAAAGTCCGAGTTTCGCCACCGTAACCACCCCTGAGGGTTCACGTGACCATCTATGTAACTCGTTAGGACCACCGTTCTGGAGTGTTTCTGCCACGGCCGTCCGAGGAACGTCTGGTAGGACCCCGCCACCGGTTTAAGGTCCGGGCCGGTGGTAATTTGGCAGTTGTGGATGGATATTCCGGTGTTCTGGTAGGGGTCCGCCCGGCCTTGGGCGGTGACGACGTTGATTTGGCCCCACATGGGTTTCCGGACGTAGATTATGCTGTCTTGGATCACGGCGGCGGCGTTGCCGAAGATGAAGTCAATGGTGCCGTAGACGAGGCATGATTTGTAGAACTGGCGTTGCGCGAGGACGAAGAGGGTGTCTTGGTAGCCTTCGAAGCTGCAGCCGTAGAAGACGGAGAGGTCGGAGGAGCACCGGAGAGCCACCGCCTGCCCTCTCTGTGGACCGGCCGTGTTCCGGAATGTGATGCCACGTGCCATGAATCGAGGACCGTCAACCCCTGATCAACAAGAAATATACGGACCGAAATATATTACATGGATAATATTGTAGGGAAAGATTAAAAATGTTTGAAAATTCAAAATACGACGGTCAGATTTGTATTTTTTAAATAAGAGCAATTACTATCGAGTTTGAAAAATAATGTAATCTTTAAAATATGGTACACTCCTATTTATTATAAAAGTAAAACATGATTGTAATTAAGCTTATTTAGGGAATAAAAACATGGCAATTTAATTTTGAAATACATAAACGTTTTTACTTCTGTTTAGAGTAATTTCTCAATTTTACTGTGGATAAATGTTTCACTAACTCACAAATAAGGAAGATTATCACGCTTAACTATGAAGCATGAAAATTCTCCAAAAAAAATAATTCTTTTGGAAATTGCCCTAAATATGGGGTAAACAAATTTGGGTAGCTCAAAATATGACTTTCATATTTTTATTTGCTAAATATGCGTAATTACTATCATGATATATAAGTATATTTTGGCAGTACCAAACTTTCAACATGACAATATTTTCTAAACTCGACAATAATTGCTCATATTTAAGAAATAAAAACATGTTAATCATAGTGTAGGGTTTTCAAACGTTTTACTTCTATTTCAGGAATTTTCCATAATTCTTTAATTTCTTCCAAATACTATATCAAAATTGTTTACAAACTCTCTCAAGAGTTAGCTAGTTGCTTTTCTATGACGTTTTTCGTTTACCGCTTTCTTATATTTCTCACGTTTCCGTCCAACATACGATAGTATATATACACATAAAACACTTACTAATTTGATTGACCCAAATCGATATTTAATCACGTACTAATATTCTAGCAAGTTAATTCACGTTGACAAGAAAATATAGCTTCAGGGTACAACTAATTTGCCATTTTCTACTCTGTATTATTGTCAATTAAAGTGATCAGAATTTGTTGATTAATAGGCAAATCATTTAACCAAAAAATTATTGCAACCATAGCCAAATAGTCAAAAAATAGAAGAATTAGCCGTACAGAATTCTTAGGCGGGATAGAATGTCAATATACGTAAATGCTGCAAGCTCAGCGCTGACCTTCCAAACATTTATCCTTATTTAAGTTGATGGAATCTCGCCTCAGTTTCCGCCACATCCATAATACTAGATCCTATTATATTCATTAATGGAGTTTTAACATTTAAGATCATGTATGAACACTTCTACCATTGCCAACTAGTGGGCTGTGATGGATGGATTAAAAAGTGTGACACCCTATTCCCGTTTTCCCGATAACCTCATCACCCATCGTACAATTAATTGAGAGAATGTTAATTGGGCTTTAATCACAAACTTGTAGATAGTGAACTTAAAATCATGCATTTTTATATAGTAACATCTCATCGCAATTGTCAGAATTTAAACTCGAGACCAGGGGCGGACCGTAGTACAGACCCAGGGGGGCAACCGCCCCCCCAACAAAAAAAATTTCAGGGTATATATACACGAAAAATAATTTTCGCCCTTCAAAAAATAATTTTCGCCCCCCAAAAAATATTTTGAACCCCCCAAGACGGATTTCCTGGGTCCGCCCCTGCTCGAGACCCTTGTATATGTCAGTTGAGCTATGCCCATCAACACCATGGATTGATTAAGATTATTTGTATATGGGCGAATTAAGAACTACGTATCATATAATAGAATATTTCAAAGTACTGCTACTATTTAAGAACCGAAGAAATATACGGAGTATAATACGGAGTATAAGCTAAGATCTAGAGATACTTGAAAATTGAAATAGGACGTAATTAGTATCAAGAAAATGACACACACACACACACACACACACACACACACACACACACATATATATATTAGTAATAGAGTTTCCCGAACAAAAATATGACTAGTGCACGAGTCATTGTGAACTAATCACTAAAGTATATTTTAGAATGACAAGTCACTGCAGATGACAAGTCACTGTGAACTAGTCACTAAATATTTCACTTTTTTGGAAAATTTTAAAATAAGTTACTCCCTCTGTCCCGCAAAATAGTTCCCGATTTCCTTTTTGGGACTTCCCAAAAAATAGTTATCATTTCCCTTTTTGGAAAGTTGTGTGTGGCTACCATTCATTTACTTTTTTTCTTATTCAATCACAACCATACATTTTTACTTTTTTCCCACTTTCTTAAACTCCGATCTAAATCCTAGTGAGAACTATTTTATGGGACGGAGGGAGTATATTGTTGTCTTTTGAATTTAATTAAACAAAAGTATTTTGGTTTGTTTTCTCCTGAAATACTACTAGTACTACGTAGTACGTACTACGTATAACTCATAGTAAGTCTTATTTAGAGGTTTAAAATGTTTAAAAATAAACTTATACGGAGTATATGGAAACTGGATGATAAATTAAAGAAGTAATGCGTACAGATAAGTTACACATACCGAAAGTTGCGCTACTATAAGTTGTGTAGCCTCCGCCAACGCTACGATCTCCGGTGATAATGGTATTCTGGTAACCATCCCCAACCAGCGAGATTCTACTCATCGAACTGTTTATCAACACGTTCTCTTTATACACACCTTTCTGGATGTATATAACAATCCTTTTACTATCATTTCCTCTTGATGAAGTTGCATGATCGATAGCGTCCTGTACGGACTTGAAATGACCCGTCCCGTTCTTCGAGACTACGTAATCCGCCTGAGATGCCACCGACGACGAGCTTTGTAACAGCCTCCGTTCGCCGGCGGTTATCCATTTCGGGAATTCGGCCGTAGGCGGGGAGGTTTTGCGTTCTTCATCCATCAATGCCCCATTGACGGACAAGCAATTGCTTATAAGTTCGGAGACGTTGCGTGAAACGATGGGTTCCACGACTTCGTGGGAAATGTTTAGCTCGACCGACCCTGACCGACATGTTTCGATGTTGGTCAGGGCCGTGCTGAGCCACGTTTGGGCGTCAGTGTTAGTGCACGCTGAGGATGTTTTGGCAGCTAGGACACCTTTAAGGGTACGATTCAATTGGAGAATCGTGTTTCGGATGAGCTTATGACAGTCCATCCGAACCATCTTATGCATTTTCCCATGGGGATAAGTCCCCGCGACTTCTTTCGAGGCGTCGTTTCGTGTTTTTATGGCTCGATCTAGGGCAACTCGGATCGTCATGGTCCGAAAGTCGGACCGTGTCAAAGGCTTGAGGGTGTACCTTGTTCCGTTTACCATGTAATACTTGCATGTCTCCGGGTGGGTTGTGGTGGTGCACCACCAATCAATGTCACGATCTCTTTCTATCTCCGTCGATTCCTCATTTTTCGAGTAAGTAGGGCAACAAGACAAGAAAGAGATGAATAAACAAATGAGAAGGAATTTTAACATGGAGACAATTTAATGCTTTAGAATATGGTGGTGAACATATAGTGAGGTTTGTACCAAGCTAACGAGGTGAAAGTGTTATGTATGTACAATATACTGTACATTTAGGACAGGGTTTTATTTTCCTTTTATATGCGTACTTCTTTTTTTTTTTGTTTATCGAATACAGAGCCAATGAAAATGTAATGGATTGTCAGCCGACAGTAGTACAGTTGGCCTAATGAAGAATAGGTACATGAAGCAACGTTCCATTTGTAAAGAAAATCAAAATTAATTATTATGGACTTATAGTGAAGTATATGTAGCAATATTCAACGAGCTAGCTACCATGCATGCTTAATTATTAATTGGTGTGTATATTCTTCAACGCTAAATCCATGAATATATATGTAATAAACAAATTGCTATGAATATGCAATTATATCCATGAATATAATTGGCGTGTTTGACATTTACTCGTTAGCGGTCACCATGTATATTATGTTAGAGAAAATTCCCTAAATAGGAGTAGAAAAGTTTTGAAATTCCAAAATAAGAATGTCATGCTTCCCCCTAAATATGAGTAATTTCTGCCAAGTTTGACATTATCAGGCTTTAAACTTAACAGTTTTTGCCAAGTTCTTTCCAAACTTGGCAGAAGTTACTCCTATTTAGGGAATAAAAATATAAAGGCCCTATTTTGGAATTTCAAAACGTTTTTACTCCTATTCAGGACAATTTCTAATTATGTTTGCAGATTGTTAATAGCAAATTCAGTTAGCGGGTTTGACTAGTAGAACAAGTTAGCGAGTTGCAAAAGCATGTTTATTAATTTAGCTATTTGACCATAACAATTAGTAGAATATGTCATATTTCAAAACGCTAACCCAAAACGCTTCTATTTGCAGTGTTTCTATTGAAAACGTTAAAAGAATTCAAACTACCATTTATTTTTACTGAAATGTCATTTTCCAAACACCCCCAAAGTGAATAAATAGGAGCACTTATGTTTTATTCACAATATACAACTTATTTGATCCTATTAATTAAAAATATATCATTATCTCAAATAGTACCAAATGAGTCCTATTTAAGAACGGAAGTAACGATGGTTCTACTCATGGTTCTAAAACTCGCTAGGCGCTAGTCGAGCAGTTGAGGGGCGGCTAGATGACCGACTAAGTCGATTTTTTGACTGACTAGGTCGACTATACCTCTACAGTTAGGGCCGACTAGGACGACTAGGCTGATTAATCGGTCCGACTAGGCCGATTTTTTGAAAAGTGGTTGTACTTGTGCACCTTATATATGGATTTGAACTATTTAAAGAATTTCTCCTTTGTAATACATACGGATCGGAGTATTAATTAGCAGTCATGAAATCACTCCCATTGCACTTAGCAATATCAACATGCAACTATATATGAAAGTAGTGGTGGCCGACAGACACGAGCGGATGTAGGGGCTATGCTAGGCCCAGTGTCACTCATATTAAAAAAAAAGAACTTTAGAGTATGCATGAGAGTTGGGTTTTAAGAGGGAGGGGCAGAGTGATGAGAGTCATGTAATCATGTAAAAAGATAAGTTTTTAGTATTCATGTAATCTTCCAAAACTTTTCAAATTCTCGCAATACATGTAAAACATACTCCTAATATGTAGTATATATAATGCAAAAATTGGTGCTAAGGTTCATAATTCCCTAATAATAAGGGTAGTATAAAATTTGTGGTTGGATAAAAACATGCACCCTTGGAGGGTTCGAAGCAATTGGCCACCGATGCATTGGCAGCCACCACCCTAAACACTAAACCCTAACCCTAAATGCTAAAGACTAAACACTAGTTAGGGTATTTTTACCCAAACACAATATATTAGTCCTATAACGCCCTGACTTTTATCGATCTATTGCTTATGTGCTAAGTTAGTTATATATAATTAATCACGCTATAAGATATGATTTTGGTATTATATAAGTAGGATTAAGGGACATATTGTGATTAGGTACTTTATGATATTAGTTGTTTGTAACTCGCATGCTTGTGTATTATAGCTATGTTTGAACGTGGCAGGTGGCGGTATTCAATGAGCAATGAGGTTACATTGTAATGATCATTTTTATGTATGTAACGATGTATTATGTTCGTTGGCACGTTGGATTGTCTTCGGGGGCTAAAACATATTTTCAAATTTTTGTCGGAGGTTTAGGGCCTAATCATCAACAATCGGGATCAATTTAGTGCCAGACAATGTTGAAATTCAGTACCGAGTGGCCCCGGAGGTCTAGGGCCTAATCATCAAACATAGATTAAACTTTGTAGGTCATTTTGGCAGGGTAACCGGCGCTAGTCACTCGGTCATGGCCAAACTGGCACTGGTTTGGTCACTTGTTGGTCAGTCGGTGCTAAACCCCTTATTGAAAATTAACTCCCTTTAACCCCAAAATACATCTTTCCTCGCACACTCTCTCAAAATCAGTCTCAAAAACTTCTCAAAGTGATCCAAGCTCAAATTAAGTATACTTCTTCATCAAAGATAATTGGTCGGTAAGATTTTCACTCTACATGGAATATTTCGGTTTATAGTTCTTGTTTTCGGATTTCTAAAAATGTTAATTTTGGGTTCATTCTAAGTAAGTACATGAACTTTTCTTGATAATATGGTTATTATTTAGTTGTTGTTTATCCTTCATAGTATGGTTATGTCCGATTGGGTGTGGGGATTTTGAAATTTTTCTCACGTTTAGGAGTTGGTGTCATAACAATTCCCTCATCTCCGAGTCTTAGGATTTTGCTAAAAGCATCAATTTAAATTTGACTAAGTGTAAATCGTTTATTTTTAATAACTATAATTGCTGATCGAAGAATCGTTGCTCGTGGAAGCCGCCATACACGCACACACAAGGGTATATACTGCGTTTGAACCAGGTAAATCATCACCCCACCTATATATGATAGCTCGAAACTAAAGTGTGGAAGTCTAGCTAATTGTGAATTGATGCATTGCTTGAGTATTTGAAATTGTCTGGCATAAGGTTATGTGAACTCTTGGTCTTAGGTATTTACTAACGGGTGGTCAGAATCGTTGAGCTATTGACATATCTGATGTAAATAGTTCTGAATCTGCGCATAGATTATGAATTTCGTTGATAGGGAAAGAAAATGAAAATAAGATTATGAGTATAAAAAATGATAAATGGGGGAATTCTATTTGCAACCATCCATTTACTAGTCACAGCCACATATTCTTTTTAATCTAATTATATCCTTAAAGTACTGGTGGCCATATCCCTTAGCATTCTTATACCTTCAAGATTGAACACCACCGGCATTCCCAATACCCAACACCACCGCCATTCCCCGGATCCTCATCCTCTTGAATTTCAAATCAACAATAGGTAATCAGGCATCTAAAGAAGAATTGATAAATAAATCCAATAAAAGGCCAAACTAATTGTGCTTGAACTATTCTCCATCAAAATGGAGTTAAGAACAAGTTATTATTGCTCTTGTTTCGGCAGAGAGTGTAAGTAGAACTCTACAGCAAAGAGAACGAAAACAGCGCGTGAGTGTTAGCCTATTTCAACGAAGGTTACATGGTTAAGGGTAACTTAGGGATTGGAATTATTTATCCTAATTACTCCCTCCGTCCCAATTTGTTTTGCAAAGTCAACATTTTTTGGTCAACTAATAATAAAAGTCAACCCTTCTTATGCACAATTAATTTAATTTTTAATAAATGAAATTTACATATTCATAAACTACATCAAAATCTCTTCGAAGTTGTAAACTCCAAATTAGAATATATATAATTAAAAATTGGCATCCTAATTAAGTGAACAAAACGCAACTGTTTGACCAAGAAAAGTCAAATTTGCAAATCAATTCGGGACGGAGGTAGTAATATTTAATTTAATAGATGTCATTAGTAATTCGGGGTCTGTGAATAGAATTACCTTAATAAATGACAAGTAACTTTCTCATGTAGTCATGCCCCCAAGTAACTCCCTAACCTGAGTGTAGCGGGACATACTCCTGTGGGGAGTCCCGGGGTTACTTCTGATTGGCCAAGGACTATGGATGCTTGTGTTGAAATGCTTGTGATTGATGAATTGACCTTTTCATTTGTG